CCCCTAATCTTTTTTGTTGCCCTTTTCTGACGGGGGCTGCCGACAAAGTGCTTTGATGTCGACAGGGGGAATGTTCAGACTAGCGCGCGAGCCGACAAACAGCTGATCAGCTGTTTGTCGGCTCAGCACGGCAGCCATGTAAATGTAAATGAAGCCGAGATCATTTAAATCGCGGCTTCATTTACCTTTGCCTACAACCCTAATCTACATGCCTCTGCCGACAGAGGCATGTAGTGTAGACACAGCCTAAGTGTTTAAGTTGTAGAGCAGAAGGAATGTCAAGGCATTGTTCAGAAATGAATAAGATCAGACTTGGGGCTAAAATACAGCCTATATTGTTATGGAGAAAGATGCAAATAGCTAGTGTATTACCGTCATTCATGGATAACCCCAAGCACAAAACATCCCTTAGGCCATGTCTCCATTTGCTGAAAGACATTGCAGTGATTAATCGTCCAGCATTCAGTTTAGCAGATCTAGTAAAGACCTGCTAAATTGAATGCTGAGGGCACTCCTGTCAGTGCTGGTATTCCTACTCCTCCTGAGGCATAAGGGAAATCAATGGGAGCATTCCCACTGTGAGGTTGGTCCCAAAGTCTGACTTAAGGTACGTAGATAGGTCTGGATATAAGCTATTGGGTTGAGGTATGAGTTTTACATAACTGAATTGCATATCTTTAGCCAACCATCCCCCATAATGCGGACCTAGCCATAGAAGATATGGTGCAGTAACCTTCTGCAGAAGGCTATTACAGGTTCTGTGTGGCCAAAGTACTCTTCTTTGGCTTCAACACTGATGCTCAGGAAAATTATTCTACATTAACTAAAGGGATACATTTAAAGTGAATTAGTTAAACTGTGTTAAACTCCTGTGTGAATGCACTCATTCAGAATTTAAGTAACCTTAATTAAACCACAGTCACATAAAAGCCATTTGAATTCTGAACAAGAATACTCACATCTGGATTTAATGTGAGTAGACAAATCCACTTTAAAAATTCAATCAGAGTATTTTTCTCTGAGGCTGTGTCTATACTGGGCCACTTATTCCGGAAAATCAGCCGCTTTTCCAAAATAAGCTGTGAGCTGTCTACACTGTCCCTTGAATTTCCGGAAAAGCAACGATGCTCTACTGTACAAAATCAGCTGCTATTCTGCTCCCGCTCGGGCATAAGTCCTTCTTCCGGAACACTATTCCAGAAAAGGGCCAGTGTAGAAAGCCCAGTAGTCTTTTCCGGAAAAAAGCCCCGATCGCAAAAATGGCGATCGGGGCTCTTTTCTGGAAAAGCACGTCTACATTGGCCACAGACGCTTTTCCTGAAAAAGGGCTTTTCCGGAAAAGCAGCCTGCCAATGTAGACGCTCCTTTTCCGGAAAAACTGAAAACGGAATAGTATTCCATTTTAAGCATTTCCGGAAATTCATGCCAGTGTAGACACAGCCTAAGGGTATGTCTAGACTACATCCCTCTGTCACCAGAGGGATGTAAATTAGATATACAGAAATTGCTAATGAAGTGGGGATTTAAATCTCCCATGCTTCATTAGCAGAAAAATGGCGACAAAAAGCGGCAGTCTAGCCACAGTTCTATCGCTCACTAAAGCCTTTGACGACAGACCCTGTATACCTCATTTTACAAGACATAAGGGATCTGTCGCCAAAGGCTTTAGTGAGTGATAGAACCACAGCTAGACTGCCGCTCTTTGTTGCCAAAGCTCCATGGTAACAAAAAGCAGCAGCCATTTTTCTGCTAATAAAGCATGGGAGATTTAAATCCCCGCTTCATTAGCAATTTCGGTATGTCTAATTTACATCCCTCTGGCGACAGAGGAATGTAGTCTAGACATACCCTGGGTGTCCCCATATTGACAAAGCTTTGTGTTTCAGACTTGATTTACCCCACATAAAATGTATGTTGATAAAGTAACTGTACTTAGGTATATAAAATATTGAGAGAGAAAAAGAGGGAAACTTTTGATATTACATAGAGCTTTTCTTAGTGTTTGCAAAGTTTACACAGTGTTACATATCCTTGAAATACCCCTGTTGTAGATGCAGTTACATCAGTTGAAGAATGCTTCTTTCTACCCTAGTTACCATTGCACATTACCCTGCACTGGTTGGTTGCACACTGATATGATCCCATGTTTGAACTCCTCTGAGAATTTAAAAATATCACCTGTGATTTTAACACAGTATTCAATAGATCATGAGACCCTCACTGTAGTTTGCTTTGTCTGCTAGGGTTATGTAGCAGAATCCATTTACCTTCAGCAAAGCATCATTTTTTCAGCAAAGTAGATGCTGAATTTAAAAGTCTTATGTGAATGCTGAGCTGGGCCTGTAACAGTTTTCTCACCTATTCAATATGCCGCTGTGTTGTGTCTGAGAAATCAGTCTGTTCATGAGGAAGGCACCAGGCACACTAATATCTCTGCCATTAGCAGTTAACTGTTCAGCTTTCTCCATTCAGAATCCCCATCGGTGTATTTCAATCACACCCTGAGGGAAAACTGAGCCTAGATTGAAAAGCATTTGTTTTGAATAATGTTTAGTGCTTTTCCAGTTGGGCTACGTCTAGTTTGCACCTGAAGGGATCCTTTGGAAAAGGCTTTATTTTCCGAAAGATCCGTGTCTAGACTGGCGCTTTTCTCTGGCAAAGCTCCGTGCCGAAAAAAAGCGGCAGCCATTTTTATGCTAATGAAGCGGGGGAGGTTTAAATCCTCGCTTCATTAGCAATTGCAATACCTCTAATTTGCATCCCTTTTACAGAAAAGGGATGCAATCTAGACGTAGCCTTGTTGTTTTTCATATCTGGCAAAGAATTGCATGTTGTTTGCAATGAGATATGAGAGAAAGTTTTCTTTGGTTACGCCTGGCAATCCTGAACACTATCTTTAGCACTACTAGATAAGGCTATGGAGTTTCTTGGCTGTCTGCACCAGGAGCACATCCATGCACCTCAGAGTCAGTGACAGAGGAATGGGAGAAGGTGTGCCACAGCTTTTTCGCTATGTACTTAATGGAGCAAAGGGCCATATAGGAGATGGTAATAAACTAACAAAGCTATATTGAAAAGAGCTAAGGAGATTGTGGGAAATGAAGCAATAAACACGCTGCAGAGATCAAAGTCCAAGAACAGCTGAAAGAGATGACTGATAGGAGCCTGGGAGTAATGAAGCAAACTCCTCCCTGGAGTAACTGAAATATCTCTGCAGAACTTGGTCAAGTGGGCCTATTATGTGTACTGCATTTGGGAAACAAGGAGTCCAGTGGCACTTGAAAGATTAACAAATATATTAGGGTATTAAGGCATAAGCTTTTGTAAGCTACAACTCAATTAGAATCATGGAATCATAGAATCCTAGGGCTGGAAGAGACCTCAGGAGTCAAAGGCTATGTCTACACTGGTAGGTTCTTGTGCAAGAACTCTTGCACAAGAACACATCCACACTACCATGTGCTTTTGTGCAAGAACATCCATGGCAGTGTGGACGCTCTCTTGTGCAAGAAAGCTCTGATGGCCATTTTAGCCATAGGACTTTCTTGAACAAGAAACTCCTGCCGTGCATCCGTGCTGTCCTCTTGCACAAGAGTTCCTGTGCAAGAGGGATTACACCTATTAGAAAACAGCATAGCTCTTGCGCAAGAAGGCGTCTCTGCTGACGCCATACTGTAAATCTTCTTCCTCAAGAGCAGGCGGACAGTGTGGATGCTCTGCGGGTTCTTGTGCAAGAACCCCCATTCTTGTGCAAGAACTCACC